TAACTTGTTTTCATTATTCAAAAGTTAGGCAAATAGAGATAAAACTATTCTGGAGCACTTTCCAAGCATTTAACAGAGAAAAGTAAATAACAGAAAAAAGGAGACTCTCATTTTAGAAAGTCACTAATCATCCTGCCTGAAATTCAATAAATAAATAAGTAAAAAGGTTTGTAGTCAGAGCAAGGATCCAAATAACTGAACTAATTTAAATATGAAGTGTGTTTGGAAATGCAGGGTCTGAAGGCAGAAAAGAATGAAAGAGATAAAGAGGAAAAGAAGAAATAAACAAAGAGTGAAGGAGGAGACAGAGGAGGAGAGGCCTCGCCAGGAGTCTTGGGCTTTTGGCTGCCTTTGTTATCAGTTTGCACAGAAATGTCAGAGCGCTGTGACATTCTTCCCTACAGCTTCCCCTGCTGCCCAGCCACCACTCACCACAGAGTAACACACACCACGCTGCTGCAGATAACATGCACACACACACACACACACACACATGTGCCATGGAATGCTTCAAGAGTTGCTTTATTTATTTACTCTAAGGTTTTCTGTGAGAAAAAAAAAAACAGTTCAGGAAGTCTGCAGGGAAAACAAAAAGTTTTTTTGGGAATACAGAGAATATATTTTCAAATTAAGACTGAGATAATAGACCCTCAGGCTAAGTTAAAAGATAAACCGTTTTAAGATATTCTGCTGAACTCTAAGTGTACCTCTCCACCTGTACCTGTCTTCCACTAAGGGGATAATTTATTAATAACTTCTTCTCTCTATAAAGGTGAAAAGCAGCTGTTCTTCCATTTTTACATCTAATCTCTAAGCAAAGTCTGGACTCCTTTCACCTGCAGTAAAACACATCTAAAGTTAGTTAAAATAGTAAAGCATATTTTATTGTGATGTTTTTAGAAAGCACTTCACTCACCAGGTTCTGACATTTGAACTTTGATCCCAATAATTAAAATATCCCTTCAGAATAAGAACACAAACATTATCAGTGATCAGTGTTTTACTTTTTGATCCTTAAGCTATCATATAAAACAGGGATGGGCAATTCCACTCCTCAGTGGCCAGTGTCCTGACATGATTACAAGGATCCTGGAGAACCTACACATCAAGGATAGGCACCTACAATGATCAGTTTCTCTAAGTTTTTCCAAAGAACCCATATTCGTTATATTCAGAGGAGTCAATTAACAATGTACGAATACTTAATTATCTAACTTAAGTAGAAATGTTGGCTATCAATACTTTACTGGAGTAATTATTTTTTAGACAACTTTTTACTTCTACTCCTGTTTTAGCAATTATCTCTACTTAAATTTTAAAAATAATTTTTTTTTTCTTTTAAGCTGATTTTTGTTAAAAAATTAAAAACCAACAAATAAATGTATTTCTTCCAGAAAATGTATTTCTGGTTGGACTATGAACATCACCAAATAGTTGTCGCCACATACCAAAATAAATAGTTTTTCAAGATAATGCAAAGTTAAATTTGACACTGTTGCCATTATTTATCAAACAAAAAAAAAATAAGTATAAGGAAGTTATCATCCAGAATTGTAGGAAAATTGTTCCGTTCATTAGTTAGTGCAGTATAAGGTTTAATGCTTCAATCCTTTAACACTTTTTACTGCATTACTTTTTATTTGTGTTTAGCGATCTTAAAAAAAATGCACTTTTACAGTATTACTTGAGCAAAAAAATTATACTCTAACTTCTACACAAGTGTTTTTTTAAACAGATTTATACTTCTACTTGAGTAATAAACATTAATACTTTTGACACCTCTGGTTTGATGGCCACATGCTGTTGGTTCCCAACCTCAGCTTTGAGAACCCATAAAGAATAAAATAAAGAAATACCAGAAATCTACAGCAAATCTTTGGCAATGACCTTGGCATTAGTCTTTAACATGGGGGCTCTGACCCTCCTTGTGGATCACAAAGGTACTGCAGGGGGTTGTAATAATTTGTTTTTTGGAAAAAAAAAAAGATTTTTTACCAATTTGTATCATTTATAAATAATCATTGTGGAGTCTTTGCTGATTTGATTAAATTCAACTTAGTTTAATTATGTGGCAGCAGTAGATGTGGCATCATGTCATTGACTCTGCAACAAACCCTCACACTGAGCATGCATGCAGCTACAGTTGAGAGAAAAAACTCCCTTTTAACAGAGAGAAACCTCCAGGAGAACCAGGTTCAGTGAGCTGAAATCTACAGAGCACAACTGGGGGTTTATTCAATGTTTTATCAGTGAGAACTTACTGTATAGTTGAAACACTAGCAGAGCTAAAAAGAGCTATAGGGACCTGGCTTATATCATATTGCAGGGGTTGCCATATATTTCAACCTGTGACCCCATAAATATTTCAGAATCAGAGCATGGTTAATACTGCCAATAAAGTCATTAGAATGTGTACAAATATCTGAGACACAAAAACAAAAGGTCTAGAAGAGCAGTAATCAAGTCAGACCATCCACCATCCAAAGACTGGGCTTGTTCTGAGAACTCAGTCGGGTCCGTTTCTTGTTGAGAATGTTTGTCAAGCTTTAACATCTTAAGCTTCTTACTTGGAAAATAGATTCTCAACACATAAAGCACACCAATCAGAAGTAAGCTATTGTTAAGAGGGACTTTTACAGCCACAGAGCTTAAAGGACAATGAATTGAGCCAATCAGAATGAAATCTTTTTTTTAATGACAAAAAAGTTTAAATAAGAACTAAAAAGCCCCCTGTTCAGGGTTGATTCAAAGGTTTAAGCAATTATAAAACCTGAAGTAAGCCTTTATAATATGCTGAAAATTTAAGTTGTATCCTGTCTTAATGTCTGATTCTTTACCTCTTTATTATTTTACATAATTTGTATAACCGGCACAGGGTCAATGTGTGAAGCTACAAGCTTGAAGCTAACTTAGTGTGTTTATGGGCCTATATGTGCAGAGATCTTTTGCGCCTCTCTTCAGAGATCTCTTGTATCTTTGGATTTTTGCTGCCCATATGGGTTTTTAGATTTTTTATTTTTTTATTTTGTGGTAGTGACGTTAAGGTGAACCTGGAAAGAAGCACTGTGGTGCTATAGTGCGTCTGTTTGTAATTAATCCTTTTATTTGACATTAATGCAGGTAAACTGCAGGAATCTCTCAAGAAACATGATTCTAAAACATTTTAAATGAGGAAATAATTAGGAATTCAAAGGCAGGATAATTCTTTTCTAGGTGAAAAATAGGTGCACACAGTATAAAATATGATTTAAAATAATTTAATCCTCAGCAGCATGTAGTGTAACGATGACAGTTGGAAGCAATGCATGAGCAAGAAGAATACTTTTTAGCAGGTGGCAAGATAAATGACCACTGTCTCTCCTCTAAAGGCAGCGCGGTTTGTCTTCATTGGTTACAGTCGATCACAAGAAAAAAATAATCCCCGCTAAAAAGACCAATTTTCGTGTCAAGTCAAATGAAACATAAAGACTCAAGCATGAATAGGAGATCATTCAGCAGCCAAATGTAAACTGGCACTGCATTGCAGAAAGCAGGTTGAGCAAAACGGGAAAAAAAAAACAGAAAGCTTTCACCCAAGCATCATGTCAAACACAACAACCCATTGTGAGCTGGAGGGATCTCCAAATCACAGCTGCATGGACGCTGGAAAAAAGGAGCTAAATTGTAATTTTCACAGCCTTAAAGAACACACATAATCACAGCCAGCAGCTCAGAAACATTCTGGCTACACTGATTTATGCATAGCTTATTAAAGGTGTTGGCAAAAAAAAAATGTTCAGCCAAAAGACTAAATAAAAAAGTCTAAGTTAGACGGGAGAAAAGGAAACTAAGAGGACTGACAACAAGTGTCTCATGTAAACCCCCAACCCTAGGTCACAGGCTTAAAGGTAAATTAAACTTCAAGAAGGACTTGAAAAATGATGATCCTCTGATAATACTTAAGGTTACAAAACGATCAAGGCCCAACAGAACCAAAGGATCTGAGCATGTTATTGTGAGCGAATTATATTAAGTGTGTGTTTGCTTATGCTTTTGATCAAAGGTTGAAAATTTGAAAGTTATTTGACTAAAACACTCATTACAATTTCATCCTGAGCTAAAGAGAAATAATAAACTGATTTAAAATCCAAAGGGAAAGTTGGTGAAACACAGTAAGAACTCAAAAGGTACAAACTGTTTAGTTTTACAGACATTTTTTAATCAACTCAAGTGACTCCAGAAATCAACTAAAGGCATTATGTTTTGTAATTCTTGGAGACAGATTTTTTAATTCCTTCATAATTTACTGTATTCAGGAAAATGCTGTTTCAGACAATTAAACATGAGCTTCATCAATAGGATGTAGATGAGTTTGAGTTATTCATGTCTCTTACACTGAATCAAATCAGAAAATAGCGAGAAAACGTTATTAAATTTAGAGGTGTTACAAGATTATCCTTTAACTTTATAGTAAAAAAAACAAAATTGGAATTAATGTGAATGAAACTGATTCTATCCACATTATTGGATTACCCTAATTATATTATATTGAATTTGGTCTGTTTGCTTGTAAAGCGCCTTGAGCAGGTATTGCTGATGTAAATTGGTAAAGTGGAGAAAGCTCAGTGCAGGCTCTGTGTGTTTTCTATTACAACATAGTGAAAACTGTGTTTTCTAGTGTTAAAGAAAATTGTTTTATGTTTTTACTGCAAATTGTTCTTTATGAGAAAAAGGAAAATGTTCCATAAAATGTCCTGAGATTCTATTCTTAAGAACTAATCAAAATGAAAATCAAATTTAATACTACAAGTGTAAATCCTAAAGATGCCTGTAAAATAATAAGAAACTACATTCAGATGTTTGATTAAATGGAACTACGGTTTCAAACAACAGCACCCCCCCATCCTCATCTCCTCTTCTGACCGGAGGACATCTCTAAGTATATGAGATATGGCTGTCCAGCTAAATCCAATAAAAGCTCAATTCTCTCCACAGAGCCTCAATATAACAATTTCACCTACCTGTAGGGGATCCCTCAAGCACCTCTCCGGTATAACGGGATTCTTTGAAGATGGGCCGGTTGTCATTTTGGTCAATCACAGTGATCACAAGTATGGCGGGTCCCTCGATGACATTCCCAGAAAAGTCTGTGGTTGATACCTCCAGCTGTGTGGATAAAACGGTAGATGGGTTTTACTGTTTAAAAGCAAAATAAAATGTTTTTACTGTGATATCTTGAATTCCCAGTGATATCCAAAGAAATTGAGGCCAATTTAAAGGATGTGCCTCTGAAAATACAACCAAAACGACTTCCCACACATCCACACATAATGGTGCTGAAGAGTTTGACAGTTTAAAAATAGCATGAAGTTCAATTTACAGTTGCTTGCTGTGGCAATGATAGTGATGGCTGCTTGATGGAGAGTAAATATTAACAGAAACATCAAACACAGCTGTGTTTGTTCAATCTTAGGTGCCAAAAGTTGATGGACACTGTAAATAACAACCATATTTTTTAGGCTCCAGAGAAAATAAAAACGTGCTTTTGTTTTATAGCTCTTCATTTTTATGATGTGTTGAATATTTGTTGGGTAAAAGGCTAACATAAAAATAAGTATCCGAGAAAGGTTTGCACACAGAACATCTTAGAAGCTTCTAATGGCTTCTGAATAATTTTTTAACTCTATGCATTCAGTAAATGTATGTCAGATGGTTTATCTCATTTAACTGGCCCTGCTTCAACCTTGGATTGACCACACCGTCACAACTCTAAAAAGCTAAAAAAAAATGCCAGTGTAGGACCACCTAAGGATCGTTGGGGTTCCTTTGGTTAGAACCAAGGAATCAGAGAGAGACCCCCATCCACCCTCCGAAACTATAGACAATCAGTATTAATACTAGAGAGGTACCAGTCCATTTTTTTTTTTTAATCAATCGATTAGCCTGAGCATACCAGGCAATATCTGATACCGATTCAACTAGGGCTGCAACAACGAATCGATAAAATCGATAAAAATCGACTTTTAAAAGCGTTGGCAACGCATTTCATCATC